GTGACCTTGAATTTGTGATCCTCCTGTCCCAACTCCAAGTACTGGGATTTCAGTCATAAACCACACCTTGTTTTTATACTGCATTCTCATTATTCTGCTTAAATACACTGACTCTGCTCCTTTTCCAACCACGTGACAGTTTCAGACTTCTGGATCAAGTACGTGCTTTTCCCATAATTCCTTGGGGGCACCCAGGTGTGATTGAGGTAGCATCTGACAGTACAATCAATGCAAGAGACTTGAGAAACATCTAATGAACCAGTGCCACAAATCACTGGAACTGAACAGACCAGGGACACGGTCATGGCTCCGAAACTTGCTCTCTGTATGACGGTGGTCACGGTAGTTTAATCTTGCAAAATGGAGTGCTTCTATATATTTTCTGTTGTATAACAAAATGCCTGAGACTGCATGCCTTATTTTAAAAGGGGGTTTACTTAGTTCAAAAAAACTGGAAACTGAAAGTCCAAGATGAGGCGGTCCCATTGTCCCGGCTTTTGCCACCTCAGCCCCTGTTACCTGTGTCACGGGATGGCTGGTGGCATTATAGCAGGATCACATTGGAAAAGAAGAGGACATATGGTTAGACAGAAGGTCAGAGAAACTCAGGCTTGTTCTTTCCAAGGATTTGTTTTACTTTCAATGATGTAAATGTATATGGAGGAGATTGTTCACCTGTGTACAGGTGCCCACTGAGGCCAGACGTATTGGATTCTCTTGGAGCTGGAGTTACAGGAAATGTGAACTGCCCAACTTGGATGTTAGGAACCCAAGTCAGGTCCTGTGTAAACTTCCTGGACAAACAGTGTGTGAAGTGTATTTTGTGTGGTACCTGGAAACACAAAGGCACAGAGTTGGTAATAATTGCTATTGCATTCTTGTTGAAGAAGGGACTTCTGCACTAAAGTGGTGGCTCTTGGCTGTGGTTGGAGTTTTCTCCAGTCCTGCTCAGGCCCACAGCTGCTCAGACCCAAGTAAACACGCAAAGACTTATATTACTTATAAACTGTAAGGCCATGGCAGGCTTTTTGTTATCTAGTTCTTATATCTTAAATTGACCCATTTCTATTAATCTATAAACTGCCATGTGGCTTGTGGCTTACCAGTACTTTACATCCTGATTCTCATGGTAGTCGATTCTCCTGATTCAGCCTTCCTGTTCCCAGAATTCTACTCTCTGCTTGTCCCGCCTATACTATACTTCCTGCCTGGCTACTGGCCAATCAGCGTTTTATTTATCAACCAAATCAGAGCAACACATTCACAGCATACAGAGCGATATCCACAGCACTTAGCTTTGGAGGTCAGATCAGATATGTCCAGGAGAGAGAGAGAGACTGTGCTTTGCTGGGACTTTCTGTTCCAGCAGCAGCCAGCCCCGTGAGCAGCAGCAGTTAGGGGCTAGTGAGCAGGATGCAGGGTCAGCCCCTCCTCCAATTTCTTCCCTCCCTAAATAAGACAGCTCCAGGCTGGGCCACTGCCGGCAGACACCATGCAGCTCCAGGCCTCCTTCTCATTTTTCCTGATCCTCACGTTCTGCCAAGAGCTTTGCTCAGAACCAAGAAGAGGTTGGTATGAAATGGGGGGTCTCAGCATAGACCAGGAAAAGAGCAGTGCAGAGTCTGTTCCTCGTCCAGCAAGGACAGGCAGCTAGTTCAAGTCATTGATAGACACTGTCAGGTGTCTGTTATGTACCAGGCACCATCCTAGGAGCTGGAGTTTCAGCCACCAGCCAAAGACACTGCCTTTAAATTCTAGGGGGTGGGGGAGGCACACAACATACATCATAGTATAATAGACAGTGAAGGAGCCATAGGAAGGGAAAAGGGGACTTTAAAGTTTGGACTTGTGATAGCCAAAGTGAGACCAAGGAGGAGAGGTATAAGCTCAACTTTGACCTCCTTACAGGGCCAGGCTCCTTGGGCCACTGTCTCTACTGCAGCTTAAAATCTACAGGTGCAGGTGGATGGGGGTGGGAGAGAAACAGAGATGGGGGAGGAGAGCACACACCCCACCAGGACAACAACAGCAACGTGGTGTATCCAGACCTTTTGTGAACAGTAGGGTTCCCTTTACAAATATTTAGAGCTGGCATACAGCTCAGTGGAGGAACACTTATTAGCATGCATAAGCCCTGGGCTCCCCCAAGTCAGTAGCATCAGGAGTCAGGTGCTGGCCCTACTACTTACAAAAATCTATGCCTCAGAAGTGTTGTTTGGTCTCTCTGAATGTCAGGTTTTTCATAAGAGCAATGGTTGTGTCTGCTTTGTTGATAAAATATGATGTGTATTTATTTGTTAGTGTAACAGCTCTCAATAGCTTCTTATGAAATACTTTGGTCACATTCAGAACACACTTGCGAGCATGCACACACACACACACACACACACACACACACACACACACACACACGGAAGGGGCACACAGGCAACATTTAAAAGCAGGTGGGACTCCACCTCCTACTGAGGTGGCATGCTTGGCATCCTAGAGCTGGGGAGGCAGAGAGCCACTGTCCAGCCAGCTTCACCTATTTGGGGAGCCCTAGCCTAGTGAGGGACCATGACTCAAAAAAAAAAAAAAAAAAAAAAAGCCAGAGAAAACAACACCTAAGTTGTCCTTTGGCCTCCACAACATACATGCGTGCATACACACACACACACACACACACACACACACACAAAATAGCAATTGCAAATACAAAGAAACTTCTAGCACTCCTTAGAGGAGCTCATGGTTATTGCTGCTTTGTTGGGTGTTTGCCGAGAACTCAGAGGCAGACCTGCATTGGGAACTAGGGCTGCAGAGTCGGTATGGAGGTTTGCGTTGCTGGGTCTCGTTGCTCAGGAAGGAGAGGATGCTTAGGGGCAGCTCACCATTATCCACTGATTTTTGAGTTGTTGGACTTAATGGTGCTTTTTCTTGGTTGTTTTTGTTTGTTTGTTTTTCCCTGTTGCTGTTGTTGTTGTGTTTTGTTGAGATGGGTCTCACTATATAGCTCTGACCTGGAGCTCTCCCTGTAGACCAGGCTGGCTCCAACCCACAGAGATCCTCCTGCCTTTGTCTCTCCTGAACCCTGGGATTAAAAGTGTGTTCCGTCTCCCCCAGCCCTTGTTGGTTGTCTTTAACCTTTCAATTAGCCCAAAAATGTGAACATTAGACTCAAGACACTCAACGCAGATGAGATAGGTCCTTTGTTCAGGGGTACACAGTTAGTGTATGTCTGAGTCCGACTTGAAACCCTGCTCTCAGGTTCAAGGCTCACCCTTCCCTGCAGTCTGTCCATTCTGGAACGGACTGTGAGAGAGGAGGCAGAAGCGTGTAGGATCTGACTGCAGCATGTCAAATCGGAGGGGGCAAAGGGGATACAGAGCTCAGCTCCTTGGTGTCACAGACAACAAACTGGAGACGTGGAGAATCGACAGCTACACAGCCTCATGCCGTCGTGGGTGGCAAGGCCAGGCTGTGAGTCCACCCCAGTCGAAAGCCCAGGCAAGGAGGTTCACTACTTCCAGGAGTGCAAACCTCGGCTTCTGTGGAGATGGATCAGGTTGGGTGGGAAGAAGTGCCTATCATGGATGGCCTCAGCCTTGCACCTTGTGGCCATGGAAGCCTCCAGCAGAGGGGAGAGTAGCAGAAGGGGTGGTGATGGACATGGCCCCCTTAATCACTCTTCTTCTTCAAGTGTCCAGGAAGCCCTTACCACCTCTGTGCAGCCTTCCTGTGGATAAAGGCCAGTGTCAGACCATGGTACTGCGGTGGTACTACAACACCAAATCTGGCAGGTGTGAGCGCTTTGGCTACGGAGGCTGTGGAGGCAATGAGAACAACTTTCTGAACAGAAACATATGCCGGTTAACCTGCAGACGCTCCTGATTTAACAAGCCTGCACAGCCCTCCATGAAGTCAAGTTCCCCAGGGGTCCCCTGAGGCTTTTTGTGTGTGAATAAAAAAAAAGTGCATTCCTCTAAACACACTTCCCTAAAATCAATTCTATCTCAGAAATTGCACAAATGTTAGCATCCTGATTAAAAATCTTTCCTTGTAAAATACAAGTACATTGGGAAAATTTAGAAGTGCCCTTCATATCTTAGCACGAATTACTGTTCCACCCATCTGAAGATAACAACTTCAAAGTGAGAGAGCTGAATCGAACTAAAAGGGCCTATACTGTCACATGGGAAGAGAACGGAAGAGCCCTGGTCCCAGGGTCCCTTGGTTGTCCTTAAGCAACAATGATTGATCTCAGAACGGAGGGGAGGAAGACGTGAAGCCTGTCTGCTCTGCTATTTCAAGGACAGATGAGGCACAAAGCTAGGCAGGGACTTCTTTTTAAACCATAGGGTGGGGCCAGAGAGAGATGGCTCCATGGGCAAGGGTGCTTGCCACCAAGCCTGAGCACCTGAATACCGTCCCTGAAACCCACCTGGTAGAAGGAGAGAGCCGATTCCTGCAAGTTGTCTCTTTCTGAACCTGATGCTTGCCATTTGGCTAGCTTGACTGTCCCAAAAGGTCTAGGAATGAACCGGTCTCCAGCCCCACCCCCATCCCCAGTGGTAGGGTTAAAGGTACACTGCTGCACTTAGGTCTTATACACGGCTGCTAGGGATCTGAACTCAGGTCCTCACACCTGTGCAGCTGCCCCTTCACTGACAGCTCCTCAGCAGACCCCTGGCCTCTTATCGACTTCTCGGAGGACTCTGGTAGCCAGGAAGCCTCATGAGCATGTTCTCCTAGCACTATGCCTGGCAGATAGACATGCAACACACCCAGGGGTGAATCTGAGTGATTTCAGAGGTGTTCCTCGACCTCTAAGAGGTCGTGTTGGCTCTATGATCCTTGGAGACTAAGGAGCCTCACAGGATTGGTGCAAAGATCCACCAGAGAAATGCTAACACTCCAGAGACACACCTGAATCATTGTTCTTGACTTCAGAACTAATCTTCCCCTGGATTTTGAACCTGGATGACCCAGTTGTCCTATATTTTCCCACCCACCTAAACCAAGCCATGGGAAATGGGGACAGAAGGAAGAGAGCAGGTGTTATGGCTTCTCCATTGCTGAAAGTGATCACTTTATTGGTTGGAAAAGGGAGATGCTTTGGAGGGTCCAGGAAGAAACACAAAGGCCAGAGAGAAGGGAGGCCACAGGAATGACACCAGATGCACAATCCAGCAGAAGCATCCTCTCCCGTTCCTCGGGCTGGTGGTGGCTGAAGCTGGAGGAAGAAAACCATGGCACCATCAACAGTAACATCTGTCATACTAGACACAAGTGTCATCAGTGTAAATCCTGACACCGCTTCCTACTTACCTCCATCACACTTGTATACACAGCAATGCACTACCTTCTTGGGGGCTCCGCCTGCATTTTCCAGCAGGTTCTAGACCCATCTCTTATGCTTCAGATCAAACCAAGGACCTGCTTGGATGTACCATGGTCCCAAACAACCACTGGGACCTCCCTGGAGACCCATAAACATTTATCTTCCTAGGAATCTTCCTGCTACCTTCCTGACATTTATCCCCATTCTGTAAGCAAAATAATTGTCTGAGGAGATGAAGAGGCTAGGTAAGGGTCAGAGCTGAAATCTGAATCCTGGTTTTCCTGCCTGCAATGCCTACCATGCAGTTGGCATTCATGGAGATTAGAGACAGTTGGCATCATAGCAGGGCTCAGGTCCTAGGAAGACTGTGGTTCCCACCTAGTCACTGAAAAGCATACTTTGAAATAACAACCGTGAGACGTTGGGCACATGCCCCATCTCGGACTTCAGTTAACTCTGTGTGCATTAATGGATCCCCCCAGCGATCTGTGGTTGCCACCAAAGGCTTGTCCAAGTTCTTGCTCATCCTTCTTCCTCTGCCTTGAACAGCATCCCTACTCTGTATCTCACCAACCATGAATCATTGCCTCATCCTTTTGTGCCAGCTCAAGGTCACCCCCTGGGATGCTTTCTCCGACTGCCCCTACTCCATTCTCCCTCCCTCAAGCCTGAGTGATGTTTCCTCAGCTGTTTTCCGAGGCAGTGGGCACTGATTGGTGGCTCAGGTTATGTCATCAATTCTTCTGTCTCAACCACTGCACTGCAAGCTCAGGGGAGCGGTCTCCTTTCTGTCCAGAACCTCAAACAGCCACTGCTGTATCACTTAATGGGCCAACCAAGTCTCTGTCTCCATTTCTCCCTTTTTAACACTTACTGTGTGACATAATGCTATATTAAGGGTTTTGTTTTACACGTACATGTATTTTTCCTGCATGTATCTATGTGTACCTGGTGTGTGCAGTGCCCTTGGATGCCAGAAGAGGGCATCAGAGGCCCTGGAACTGGGGTTATAGATGGTTGTCAGCCACTAGATGGGTACCAGTAACCAAACCTGTATTCTCCACAAGAGCAGTAAGCGCTCTTAACCACCGAGTCACCTCTCTAGCCCCCAACTTATTAGTATTTTATTTTTAATCACATACAAAGGGAAGGGTGACTTTCCAAACTTTTCCTTTCAGGGCCTGAGGCACTAAAGGTACTGAATTTAGTTCTGACTTGCTCAGAGTAAATGCTTAATCCATTTCAGACACAACTAATAAATGCAATGGAGGTTAACGACCTCAACCACACTTGTCCACAAAGATGAGCCATTGGAGTAAATAAAGATCAGCTTCTCTGTGTCTCACTCAACATGCAAAGAGATACCTTCTCCTCAACCCCACTGGCCATTGACTCCCCCACCCCACATTGTCTGCTCCCCTAGGACACAGCTACCCCTTTCCAATTCCTAAACAAAAGGGAAGTTCATCAGCAAACCCCACCATTCTTCTTCATGAAGGGGTGAACTGGCCACCGCTGTCCCTTGCCTCCACCCTGGTCAGGCTCATCTCATCTGTCCACTCACAGTTGAGTCTGGGAATCTTTCTCTGCCCTCAGCAGTCTAGCCACACCACAGAACATCACGAGGGCCCTTTGAAAACGTCAGGGCAAGTCTCTTTCTGAAGACACACCTCAGGGTCAAGACAACAACCTCTAAGGCCCTCAGATGGTCTCTCCCAGACCTTTTGACCTCCCTTCATATTTCTACCCAGCCTTCGGGTTCTTCCTTAAATATCTCAGTGATGTTCCCGCCTTCATATTGCTGTTCCCTCTGCCCTGACATGCTCACATTTTCTTTCATTTCGTACCTTCTTGGTGAGGACTGCACCTACTGTCCCATGTAAAGGTTACAGTAATGTCCCTTGTCTCCCCTCCCCCAGGAATACCTCCCTCCTGTTCTCTGTGTCCCATGGCATGTACCTCCCTGTAACATACTACCAAAATCAGCTTGTTCATTTCTTTTCTCATGCACTAGACAATAAAACCCATCACCCAGCCATTTTTGTCTGATTTGTTTGATCACACATCATTCACATATTGTAGATAAATATTAGTTGAGTTAAGGAAAGTGAATATACAGACAGATTTATCATCACTGTGTTTTCCAAGGTCTTTCTTTACTACTTGCTGTAAGTACCCCATACTTGGGCATCTCTGAACCCGCTCTCCCACTCCCACCTACCTCAGAATGTGGGTGTGGCACAGGTCATCTTCCCACAGCCATTGCGGCAGCATTTCATGTTGTCAGGACACTGGTTGTCCAGCTGGCACTGGTCCTCGCAGATACCAAGCTTGGGGAAGTCCACACTAGGGCAGGCGCCCTGCTTTTCTGGGTAGACAAGCGAGTAGGGGGAGGTGAGCTGAGGGACAGGTAGACAATCAGCAAAGCGTGGCTGAGCACTGCCCTGAAGCTGGTTCCCCAACAACAGAGCCGCCTACCTGAGTTGATGTTGGGAACCTGAGGCCTCTCAGAGGTCTTGGGGAGATTATCTGCAAACCCCCAATTTCTGCTCTCAGATGGCTTTGAAATCACAGCACCTCAGTTTGAGTCTCAGCTCTGCCATTTTCTACCCTTGGGGCCCAAATCTCCCAGAGCTTTAGATGTCACATGGAATCCCTGTCACTCAGTTGTGAGGTTGTTACAAAAGCAATTATCCCCCCCCCATACACCACCCTGAAAAACCAAACTACTTGATAACAACGAGTAATTACAAGCATTAACACTAACTAGTCCTGCTGAGAGCCAAGCACTGTTTAGGTACTAGTTCATCCAAGTCTCACAATAATCTTAAAAGAGGTGAATGGTTCCATTAATACTTCCTTGCATTGCAGAGGAGGAAACTGAGGCAGTATGCTCTTAAGTGCTTTGCCTGAGGCCATGCAGGATTGAAGCAAGATTTGAACCACAGGAGATCTGGCTCCAGGGTGCATGCACTAGCCACCGGCTCTCTGCTGCTTCTTAAGCTGTAAAGTGCAGTGCACAGGTAAGAGGTGGCACACGTTCCCTGCGCCTGCTCTCACAGGATCACTGCCAGTAACAATCACTCATCGCCATGGATCTCCATACACACCCGATCACCCATGCACAGCTAGAACCCCCCCCCCCCACACACACACACCCCAACACTATGTTCCATTCGACAGAAGTACCAGACAGAGCCAGGCCCAGCGAAAGGTAAGACACAGACAGGGGGTAGGCAGGTAAAGGACCATGAGAGGAGAGCTTGCCAGCGTCTTGACTTTGCTAATACTGACGCTGTTGGAGGCTACCCTGAGCCAAAATGAGAATTAAGGAGAAGATTTATTACCAAAGCAAGCTGCCTTGTACGGCATGTCCACTCCCGGAGGAGATGCTTTTGAGAACCTGAGAACTGTCGCGTTTAGCTCCTCCTGCACCAGTCTTACAAACTGACCTCATCATGCCTGCTTTGCAAATGAACAGGCAGCTTTCAAAGGGCAAGCTGCTCAGGCTCACACACTTAGGAAACGACAGGGCTAGGATTCAAACCTCCATGCTCCTCCCTGACTCAGGAGGCCAGCTAGCTTGTCCAGCTGACACAAGAAAACAGCATCTTCATCCACAACTCCGTCTTCCCTGGTCATCCTTTCCCAGGCCCACCTGTAGCAGCACCTCCACACCCTAAAGCTGCCGCTCGCCAGCAAGCCTTCCCTCCACCTTTCTGCTCATATCGCCTTAGGATCCCTAAGTTAGACATGTTCCCAGCCTCTGCTGGCATCTCTGGGGGAAATAGTAAAGGCAAAATAGTGGGTAGGGCTGTGTCCACGATCAAGACCAGTATTTACAACCTCTGTGTTCCCATCTTGTCCCCACCTCCACCTCCTAGCCTCAGCTTTTCCCTCTTGGAAAAGAAACTTAGATTCCATACCAAGGTTACTTTCTTCCTCTGCCACAGCCGGTGGCTGTGTCGGTGGTGGTGGTGGCGTGGTGGAGACTTGACCTCCCTCTGATGGAGAAGTCTGGTTGGCTGATGGAATAGTATCCCGGAGTTTTTCCTCGTTCAGTCCTGAAGGTGGGAGGAGATGTTGTTTTGGTTTGGTTTGGATTTTTTTCGAGACAGGGTTTCTCTGTGTAGCTTTGCGCCTTTCCTGGATCTCTCTCTGTAGACCAGGCTGGCCTCGAACTCACAGAGATCCGTCTGGCTCTGCCTCCCTAGTGCTGGGATTAATGGCGTGCGCCACCGCCGCCCGGCTTAAGGCAACTTTTATAGCGCGGTTCTTACATCAGTTCGCATCAGGAGGAGATGGTTTTAAAGGGAGGGAAGCCAAGAAGTGTCAAAGGAAGAAACGGAACCTCTGCCCGCCACAGGATGGCGGTGTGACTTCGTGCAAGAATATTTCTTTTGGCCGCTCACTTCCACAGACGTAGGGTGTGGCAAAGTTCTTTCCCGCCCTCAGGGAGAAATCTGGGGAGTCTAGTCAGGCCAGACTGTGGAAGGTCCTGAGGGAAGGACTCCGGAGGCAAGAGGTCTCCAGGGCTCGGGTCCCAGCCCTGAAGCCACCCAGGGACGACTGCCCACAGTCTCCAGCCAAGTGAGCCACTGCTCCCGGGTCCCGGAACAAAGTCTCGCTGTGCGTGCCCGGAAGCCCGTCATGCACCAGAGAATCGAGCCCAACCAGGAATGGGGGTACCCCCCCCCCGGGCAGCGCCTCGGTGACGCCTTTGTCCCCCCGCATCCACCCCAGGCCGGACCAGGGCGGGCACAGGTGGATCGGGTTTCCACCGCTTCAACCTTCCCGCGTGCCTGCGTCTGGGGTGCCCTTCTTCCCCGAGCCCCTGCGCTCCCGCCTCTCGCAGCCCTCGCGGCCCCGCCTTGTCCCAGCCAGGTTGCGGAGGGGTTACCATTAGGACTGGAACAGAAAGAGCTGCAGCCAGCCTGGCAGCACTTGAGATTGTCGAGGCATTGGTCGTCCGAGGAGCACTCCTTTGCGCAGTCAGTTCTCTCTTGGAGCTGGGGGCACACGCCGGGTTTCTCTGCTCCCGCACCTAGGGATGGTGGGAGCGGAGAACTGTCGGGGAGAACCGGAGCCCAGTCCCACCAGGATACCCAACTCTTGCTCCAAGATCCTCAAATTTCAACCCCACGAAGTTCTGGTGGGGTTCTGGTCCAGGGGACCCTCCTAACACTCTCCCCAGAGGGCCCCATCCCCGGGCCAGGGGTCTCTGACACTTGGGGACTCTCTGATGCTTGGCTTCAGAGCCCCAGTCCTCCGGGGACCTGAGCCTCTGGCTGCCAGCTTCGGTCATCCTGGGAGCTTCCCGCTCCACAGGGTCTCCGCCTTCAGCAGGGAGAGAGCCTCCGCCCCTCCAACTTTCAGCCTTCAGCGGTCTCCCCGCCTCCAGAACACTGAACCCCAGATCCTAAGCTTCAAGAATCGCCAGCTGTAGGCCCCAGGCTTCCCAAAATTTGCATTTTCATTGGCCTTCCCACTTTCGCCCCAGAACTCCCACTTCTAAGACTCCCTACTGGGCTCCGCATTCCCGGCTGCACTCACCTGCATCTGAGAGGTGGGTAAACAGCAGCAGCAGCCCCAGAAGAAGGCCTGCGGCCGGCAAGCCGAGGCGACAGGCAGGCATGGTGCAGGTGTGAGCCGCAGCCTGGGTGGGGGGGATTTAACCGCTCGCGCCGGGGGCGGGGCCGAGCGAGGGGTGCAGGAGGCGGGTAGGAAGCACAGCGGGCAGCGCGGGCGCCCTGCCACCTCATGCCATTTCACAATCCCCCGGGATCAGGTGTCATTCTTGGCTCTGATGGGAACCAGGAACCGAGACAGCTTCTGAGCCAGCTGAAGCCGGACACTTGTCCACCCCTCCCTCTCTTCCTACCTTTCTGGAGCCCGAGGGCAGGGCAGTGCAGCAGGAACAGAGGGCCCAGACCCAGGGCTCCTGGGCTCATTTAGAAAGTCTGGGGTCCTCCCTGGAGCGACTGGGGTCCAGGAATAAGGAGGGAAGGGCAAGGCTGCCGGGAGGCAATGGATGCTGGGGGATTAAGTGCTGAGACTTGGGGTCAGATGGGTCAGAATCCTGTTCAAGGATTAGTAGAAGGCTGGTGAAGTAGAGGCCACAGAAAAAGCAGTCGTTCACAAAGGAGCCCATCTGACCAGGATCAGGCCCACGGAGGAGAAACACCCGAGCCCTTTTAGACACATTTCTGCCTCTTCCTGCCACACTCCATTTGGGCAAGAATGAGGAGCACCTGAGTCTTGTGACATCTTTCTCTCCTAGGACTCGAGAGTTATTACTGTCAACTGCATATGACACACAGGCTGGACTTTGGGAGGCTAACTCCCAACCTAGGTTCTGAACCAAAGCTGCTCAGGCGAGGTTTTGAATACACATCTCTTCCTCCAGGCTGTTTCCTCCATTCCATTGCCGGCATTAGCTGGGCACCCACTGTATGACACATACAGAGAGAGTAATGCAGATGACTATGTAAACGACAGGCACCTTTAGGGCAGATTTCCGGGCTCACGGCACCTTCCGGATATCCTTCCCGTTACCATCAGGTAAAAGTTAGCAGTGCAAGCTGGGCATGTGCCGGAGTGGACCTTTGCCTAATATCCTCCGCATGCGGATCTGTATGTGTCTCCACAATAAATTCCTCACCCTTTCTAGCCTTCTTCCTGTGTTGCCAGAGTACCACTTTGGAGTTTACTCCCTTGTTCTCCTGGCCTCTGCAGGTAACAAATGCTTCTCCTATCTTTAATGTTCTGGCTGAATTTATTTTAGCTTCACACTCACCACAATGTGAATCACCGTATTCAGTTACCATAATCAAAAGGGGGCTGTCCAACTCCTGTCTTGGGGTGACAGGGACTAGGTTTGACTTCCACCTCCACCACTTGCCATTCGAAGGACCTTGGATGAAACATCTCTCTCTTCTGAAGAACCATTTTGTCATCTGTAAAAATGATTGGGAGCTAGAAATATGTCTCAGTGGATACAGCCCTTGCCTAGTATGTGTGAGGCCCCTAGGTTCAAACCTCAGGACTACAAACAGAGAAAAAGAATAATGATTAAAGTCACATTTGATGAGAACAAGAATGTCATGTTCCTGCCCTAGAACAACCATGGAGTCCATACTTATTGACAGGAACCCCAGGGCCGGGCATATGACTACTATACACACAGCCATGAGTATCCAACAAATAATAAATGCCTACTGTTATGAAGGAGCCTGCTGAGTACACTCTACCCTTTGTGCTCCTGGGTCCCGTGTCCTCTGATGGAAAATACTTGGTGACAGAACCGTGCCTGAACTGAACACGTACTGACTGTCGTTTCTTGTCATTGTTCTCTAAACAATACGGTGTACAGTTATCCATGTGGCGGTGGGTATTTCACAAGATTTAAAGTACACCAGAATATACATGTATTCTAGGCAAACGTCACTCTAGTTTTTTTTAAAATATATTTATTTTTCTAAATGTACAGCCCATTGAACCTGTCTATACATCTTTGCCAGTGGCTGGGCCTTCTCCACACTTTGTGCTTCTGATGTAAGTTACTGGGGTTCAGTGTCTTGAAGCAGTTTGGTAAGTCCTTTACTAAGGAGCTCCTGAAGGGCTTCCTGCCCAGGGAACCCCAAATCTCAGTCTCTCAGAGACCAGAGCGGAGTGATAAGCTTCTAGTTGGGACCTTTCTTACAGAGCTCTGTCACGCTGGACTAGGTTTCTGAGCACGTACAGACTTAGACTTGGGCTCCTTGTTAGCTTTGCCCCGGGATTTGTTACTTCCTTGGCCAGCTCTCTGGCATCTTTCTCTTGCCATCCTTGGGCAGTACGACGACACTCCAAGAACACTGGTGCCCACGGCGGTCCCAGCAAAAGGCAGTAAGAGCCCGAGGTGTCAGGTGGCTGCAGGGGAAGAACGTCGTCCAGACGTAACAGACGCGTGTATCACAGGATCCACATAGAACTCACAGACAGCGGCAGCACAAACGAGACCCGCGTGGGTTCAAACCAGACAAAATCCCTGTGCTGAGAAGGGAAGTGGGCATCGTGTCCCACCCCAACCAAGAAGCTGTTTGAAATTGACACCTGCCGGGTAAAGGAAATCAGTTCTCTCTGATGGAGTCTCACCGGGTATATCAGCCACACTCCCAGGCAGGCCCCATGCCCAGGGGCAGTGGGCCAACACAACATGGACTCCATTTTTTGTGCACTTTTTGTTCTGTTTTAGTGTGTGTGTGTGTGTGTGTGTGTGTGTGTATGTGTGTGTGTGTGTGTTACTGGGTTTTTGTTTGATTTTATTTTCATTGTGGGGGGTAGGAGAGAAAGAACATGAAGTTGGGTGGGGAGGTAGGAAGGGAGGGTGGATCTACAAAAAGTTGGGGGATGGAAAGAATATGATAAAAAAAATATATTATTTCTTTAAAATGTAATAAAAATTAAAACAAATATTGATGGAGGAAATGTCAAGATGTGGGGAGCCACTGCTTTACACAGGGGACTGGTGTGGTCCTGGGTGTTTGTGGGAGACGTGGAGATACTTACGTACAGCTGTGTGTATCAAACTCCAGAATTCAGAGCAGCAAATGCCAAAACAATGACCAAGCGAGTTGCACAAGAAGTACCTGCAAGCTTGCTCTAGCTCCAGCAATCCGAGACTCCAAGGCCTGGGGGGACTTTTCCACTGGGGGTGAGAGTTATCTGCAACAGTGAAAACTGGGATGTCGGCTGAGTCGGGTTTGGTGATACGGATGCATCCAACCGCTGAGCCAGTGAAGGATGTTGGTAAAAATGGCTGAAGAAAACGTCTCCTCCACCTTTGCAGGCTGGGGACTGTGGAGACATGCCGTTTTGGGGAGTGGCTGAGGCTATTTACTCTGAGCTCAGAGAAAGTCAACAGCAAGAAGGGTGAGAGCTAGGTGGGGTCACAGCCCTGGACAGGCTCCTGAAAGCCGGAGCACACAGAGGGCACTTTGGTGAACAGCTGGTTTAGCCTGCAGACCAGACGGCTACTGGACATTTATCCTTGGGCAGCGCTGCACACGGCTTTCTTCCAGAACTTATCAAGTTTCCTTGCACAGGGTGTCGTCAGGTTCAAGCCCTCCCAGCCTCTCAGGGCTCCCTTATTGAATGCCACTCTTTTCTGGAATACAGATTAGTTCAAGGCTTGAGGAGTGGGGGGGGGGGCCGCTGGCAGAAGATGGGGAAAACGTTCTTGAGGGATATCAGATATTCAGCTTTATGATGGAGCTAGGCTCTGAGCTAAGCTGTTGTAAGTGTCTCTTCTGCATAAGTAAAAAGAACAAAGGCTTCATAACTGAAAACACCAGAGTCCAAGCAAGTCGAGGTGCGAATAGCTTCTGGGCTGTGACTCAGAACAGAGCTTCCCCTCGAGGGGCTACAATTTCTTCCACAAAATGGGCATCGTTGTAGCATCTTGTAGGATTGTTAAGAGGATTAAAGAGAAGAGCAAAAAACGGGGTGGGGGTGGCAGATTCAGCTGGAGCACGTCTATTATTAGCCCACACGGTACATTTCTAAATTTTGAACTAGTTGCCAATGTTTAAAAGTGGAGAATTTCACATAAAAGATATACCCTTTTCAGCTCTCTTAGAAATAGTACAGGATCTGGCAGCAAGTCCTCAAACTCACAAAGCAAGCGCAGCTAGGACGCAGCTCTCTAAACTGGGCCTGCATCACCATCACCTGCTCGCTGAAGTGCAGCTTGCGGGGATCTGGGGCTGTAGCTCAGTTGGTAGAGGGCTTGCCTATCAACAGGAAGCACCGGGTCCATCCCTCCCTCCCCCCACTGCACAAACTGGGCCTGGTGATGCATGCTCGGAGGTGTGGCACCCCGTTTTCAGGTTCCTCGTGGCTTTACCCAGCAGGTCCGAATAGAGGATGAGCAGGACCACGGGCCTGAGTGCAGGTGTCTGAGATGCCCTGCACTTGGCTGTGCTGGGGGAGGAGGTCTTTTGCTCCACCCCTTGGCGTCTCTAGAAAAACCCTAGGGCAAGACAGTTGGGCCCGTTAGAAAAGGTTCCAGGCCCTCTCGAGGCTATCCTGTATTTTCTATCTGTTTATCTCCACAATAAATCCTTCTATCTAATATTTCCTGCTGCTCACACTCAAGAAAACTCTGGGGAGCTGTGGGGTTGGTGGGTAAACGCCCCACACGGAGGCAGGGGAATCAGACATTCAAACTCATTCTTGGCTACATAGCAAGTATGAAGCCAACCTGGGCTACGTGAGATCACCTCCAGTACATGTCTGGAGTGTACACTCGTAACAGGATTCCAGATGCTGCTGGTGAACTGGCCACACTGGGGACACCATGACATAGAGCTAAGCTGGCACGCTTTCTTTCTATGAGAGAGCTATCACCCTGCTGTCTCATGTGCTCCATCATCCGTTGCTTCCTCTCCTAGCAGCGGCCTAAGTACATTCAAATCTGTGGCCTGCAGGGTAGGCCCGTCCTAGTGTTCAATGGAGAGAAGCTTGGATCTGCTTAGCAATACTATGGGTTAAGAAGCATCACTCTCATTTTGCAAATGAAAAAACTGTGCTCCAATGAGGCAGAGTGACTTGCTGCTGGGAACCCAGACCATCAGTTGTTCCCGTGGCTTCGGTTATTTCAGTATTACACCCACCCACCCCATTACACACACACTCCCAAGTTTTTAAAAAAAAAAATTG